GTGATCTGCAAATTTAGTTAACGAGGGTTAAGCACAACTGCTTAGTGAATGATCCGGGTTGGATCCGGTAAACTCGTTCCCAGCGAAAACGGTATTAAAACGATAAAACACCAAATATAATTATTCAATATTAAACATATATTTATATCATATAAAAAACATCATCGTATCAATTCCCGTATGGCTTCACACCATCAGGTCAGCCGTAAACCCTGGTCACTTCTCATGGCCAGGAGCGCCTCTCATGCCCGTCACATCTCGTGACGTTGGTCGTCGCTTCGCGCAACAATCAAATCCCGTATGGCATCGCACCATAGGCTTAGCCGTAAACCCTAGTCACATCGCATGATTAGGAGCGCCTCTCACGCCCGTCACATCTCATGACGTTGGCCGTTGCTTTGCGCAACAATCAAATCCCGTATGGCATCGCATCATAGGGTTAACCGTAAACCCTAGTCATATCGCATGACTAGGAGCGCCTCTCACGCCCGTCACATCTCATGACGTTGGTCGTTGCTTTGCCCAACAATCAAATCTCGTATGGCATCGCACCATAGGGTTAGCCGCAAACCCTAGTCACATTGCATGACTAGGAGCGCCTCTCACGCCCATCACATCTCATGACGTTGGCCGTTACTTCGCGCAACAATCAAATCCAGTATGGCATCGCACCATAGGGTTAGCCGTAAACCCTAGTCACATCGCATGACTAGGAGTGCCTCTTACGCCCGTCACATCTCATGACGTTGGCCGTTGCTTCGCGCAACAATCAAATACCATATGCATCGCACCATAGGGTTAGCCGTAAACCCTAGTCACATCTCATGACTAGGAGCGCCTCTCACGCCCGTCACATCTCATGACGTTGGCCGTTGCTTCGCACAATAATCAAAGCGCTTCATGCGCACGTCACTTCTCGTGACCCATCGGAGAATAAAACTCAAACAACATACAACGATTCTCTCGTTATGTGTCGCACATCTCACCACGCGTTCAATTTATTAATTTATTTCAATTCTTCTCTTTTTTTCATTTTTGTCATGTTCCAGCTCGTTCTTCACATAATTTTGTCGATTCCTAGGTTTATATTTCATCTCGAGGTCTTTTTGGCTCAATTTCATCACTTTCTAGTCTGGACCGGTCGGTCCGGGCGTTCCCGGGGTCTAGACCGATCGTTCCTAGTCATTTCGGACATTTTTGGTGTTTTCTGGGTCTGGACCGGTTGGTCCAGGCAATTTCGGACCGTTCCGGCATTTTCAGGGTCTGGACCGGTCAGTCCAGAGCCTGGAGACATCGCGTTTTCGCGATTTTCGTCCTCGATTCTGGTCCGACTTCGTTGACTCATAACTTGCTCGTTTCTTATCCAAATTGAGTGTCGTTTGTTTCTACGTGCTTCTTGAAATGTCCTCTTTTGATTCCAACTAACAATTCTTATCACACCTATTTTCTGGGTAATGGCCCGAAAGTTTCGGATTCAGCATGCTTCTGAGTTTTTCTCTGCAATTTTACAGTTTTTCTCCGATTTTCAACCTTTCATATCTTGTTCGTTTCTTCACCAAATCGAATGTCGTTTGTTTCTATGTGTTCATTGAAACTTTCACTTTCTCATCATGCCCAGGTTTCATCGAATTAACACCATAATAACGATGAAAATGAGTTCACACAGAGGCAACTCGAGCCACTCACCTGAAACCAGGATTGTTTCTGGTTTTGGCCGGAGTTGATGGAGTTTTCTGGCGATTCGGATGACGACGACCCTCCTAGACCTTGTGGGGTCAGCCTTCTTTGCTCCCACGAGCTCCTTTCCCCTTCTTTCCCTCTCTTTCTCTTCCTTTCTCTTTCTTTCTTCTCTTTTTGCTGGGTTCTTCTTCTGCAGAGAGAAATGCTGAGGTGCCATCTTTACAGAGGATTTAGATCGGCAAGGAGGAGTCACATGGGCATCGTGGAGGGTCCGGGGGTGATCACGACACATCATTTGGTGCCCCAGGCGCTGAGAAAAGTCTGTCTGAAGTCGGCAACTCGAGCTGGATTTGCACATGTCTGTCGGGCTGGACCGGTCGGTCTGCCTCTTAGACCGGTCGGTCCAGGCGTCCTGTTTCCCATTTTTTACCGTTTTCTCGTCCCTTTCGCACGTGGTGATGTCCGGGCCTTTTCCCGGTACCTTATGGTCCATTTTTAAGGTTTTTAAGGCCCATCGATCAAATTCTTTTTTTTTTTGAACTAATTGATTATTTGAATATGGATTCGGGGTATTACAATTCCCAACGTGGGAAGTGTAATGCTCGAGTCATGGATTCCACCGGTTCATTAGGGTCTTTGAAAGATATGAAGCAGAAAGCAGTCGATCTCTGGATCGAGCTGACGAAAACCCTGGTCGCCTTCTCATTGCTGCCAGATCTTGTTTCTCAAACGGACGGGCAACAATGAGAAGGCGACTAGGGTTTTCGTTAGCTCGATCGCGAGGTTAACTGCCGAAATAATGTCACCCGCTCACGGTCGGTATCTTCTCCTTCCACTTCCTATTGGATTTTGCTTTCGCCGTTTCTCTCATGGGCGTCATCATGAATCGATAAAGATTCCTTATCATAGTGAGAGTTTGAATAATCTCTTGAATCAAAATCAGGAATCTCCTCCTTCCTTCCCAGGTTTGGATTCCGCCATTGTTGGTGTCAACATCAAAGACTGAACTTGTATGGAAGATATTCCGAGAAGATGTGAGGGGTAATTTGGTCATTTGAATTCGGCGGGCTTTTGCTCATCTGAGTAAAAAATGTAAAAGGATATATGGTTTTGGTATTTTTGGAGATATATCTATTATTAATATATCATCTCATTATTTATTAATGAAATTTATTTAATTTTACTATTTAGAAAGGTAGAGAAAGAAAGAGAGAAAAAAAAAATCTAGAAATAGAAATTAAAATTAATAAAACGTATTCATCTTATACAAAAAAAGGCTAAACATCTAACAAAAATATGAAACTTTAAAAAAAAAGTGGCTTAGACAATCTTTTAACACACAAGCAATTGCTCATTTCTCTGTTCTTGTTGCAAAGAACACCGTAATGAACATGAACATGTATCTCTAGAAACCAACATCAATAGAATCTTTTCTATATCAACATCGAGACGTCGATAAATCATGGAGATTATATACTCCAACAAGATTGAATCGTAAGACAGTACGATCGGTCCATCACTCGGTAGACCAAACCTCATCTCCAGACATCCTCAGAAACTCTCGGAAGATCGAGCAGTTTAGGTAACTTATCGGAAAAGAAAACCGTCTTTTGTCCGACGTGTAGAGCACGAAACATCCTTTTTCCGCCGCTTGTGAAGTTTTAGACCTTCCTATTGTGATCCTTTTCCTCATGAGGGTCGCTCTCTGCTGCCATTTCCTCGTGTTCATCATCGTTTTTTGATGAATTCCGAGGGAGAGAAAGGTTTTCGAGTTTTGATTTGATGAGGAACAAAAACAAGATCTTGTGTTATATATAATGAGAGCTTGTTAGAATTATGGATTTAGACAAAGCTTAGACAACCAATACGCTCGGATGGAACGGTTACCTTATTTTCCGGGTATTTTTGTCCACCCCTAGATCGGGCACCCGAGTTTTCTGGCGTAGAAACTTCAGTTATTAGAAAGTTTTCAAATTCTCCAAACCCTAATTCTCTAAACCCTAAACCCTAATTCTCTTTTCCCTCGACCATAAACCTAATCTGTATACAGATTCTAGCAGATTTCCAAATGCAGAGACTTCTATTGTCAGAAGGAGTTCATTACAGGGGAAAGAAAGATGTCGACTTTCCTACTTTTCCGAGTTCGAAGGATTCAGATCTAGAACAAACAATTTACAGAGAGCATAAACTCCATTTGGGTATCCAAACATTGTCCTAAAGATCGAAACCGCTGAAATATACTTCCAGAAAACGCCGTTCCAATACCCCTTTATCCGAATCTCCATTTTCTCCCGCAATGCGTCCTCTGTTTCGTTCCCCGACACTCCCTTCGTTCCCGCCTTCACTGCTTGCAAACGTTCCTCGCATCGATCGATCCGACCGTTTAGTTCAGCCAGCGAGATTTTCGTACGAAAACGCGTTCTACTCTGGAGATGCGACACTAAAGATTGCAAACCAAGAATCGCCTCTGAAAACCTCGCAGGCAGATCGTTTTCCATCTTTTCGTCTTCGGATATCCGATCTTGTTTCGTCGTTTTCGCTGCTTCGGTGTTTAGATTTGCCCGAGAAAGTTCCTCTGCAGTTTTCAGAAGAGAATGTATCAAGAAAAACACCTCGGAGTGTTCCCTTCCAGACCGCCACAAGATCCAGTTTCTCAGATGGATCCGTTCCTCATCCTTGTTGCCCGAACCGACACCCAACAGCAAGAACTCGACGAGATCACGAGTCAGCTCGATACCGATATCGATTGCTCTACCCTTTATCTCGTTTAGACCCATCGATTCTCCGTCCGAATCTCTCTTTTCAGATTTCTCGGTTTCAAGGAAGGATTCTTCGAACTTACGGAAGAAATGGCTTAGACAGTCTCCTGGATCAAGATTATGAGTCTTCTGCAGCTCTTTCATCCGTTTTCTGGAAACCCTTTTCTCTTCTTGCACGGCATTGAAAATCTGACGGTTTACCAGACCGTCGAAACTCAGGAAGGCTTCCATGGACGTGCGCTTTGCTTTCCGCGTCAGTTCTTCGAGATTCATGAAAGATTCGGTCGCGTCCTTGAATGCAACCGCCGCTTCTTTCTTCTCTGATTCCGTTTCATTTCTTGTCGAATCTTCCTCCGCCATTGCTGGTGTCAGCGTGATAGATTAGACTTAGAACAGAGAGAGAGAGATGAAAGAAGAGGGAGTAAAAAAAAAAGCCCTCATTAAAGATGGATAGAGAGATATGAGGCCCATTACCAGGCCCAATAAAGGCCCATTGTTGGCAATCAATGTCCTTTTTTAAATTCCAAAACGAAAAGCAGTAATTGAAAAAACAGAGGGAGCGAACCAAAAAGTCTCCCTTTCATGTTGAAATATGTGTACACTGCAGACTGCAAGCGTGCTCTCTCTCTCTCTCTCTCTCTCTCTCTCTCTCTCTTTCTCTCTGAAAACCCACTAACAGCATTACTTCACTTTAATACACTGCTAGTCTCTCCCTCTCTCTCTCTTTAGGGTTTAATGCCAATGGCTTCGTTGCTTTCGTGCTGGGGTCACTTCTTCGGAGATGTGTTTCTCTCAGGAGGTACGAACATTTGTTTGGCTATTTTTTTTTCTCCCTTTTTTGGCTTCAATGTTGGATTTTGATCATATGGGTCCTCGAGTTTCGAGATTATTTCTGTGAAATTTGAAGACTTTGCTGCTGCATTTGATTCGGATCTGGTTTTCTGCTAAAGTGGTTGCTGTTCGTCTCTGAGGGTTTTAAAATTGTGAAAGAGATTAGAGAGCTCCGATAGGAGATAGTGTAGGGAGGGAAAGTGTTTATAGTGGTGGTGATGCTGCCTTGTTCTTCTGGTAATGTTCATTTCCATAGGTAGGAAAAAAAAATGGGTTTTGTCTATTTAAACCGGTGGTTTGGTTGCTTTCCTCGTAGCATATCGATCTTGATTGCAGAGATTAGATGATAAAAGCAATTTGGGAACAAGAAAAATTGAAGCTTTTTTAAAATTGGATCTCAATATCTTGAGGGAAAATGTATAATACTCAGAAACAAGAATGATCTATGCTTTTTGTGGCCTTTCTAGTGTTATGTTGCTCTTATGATCACTGGTGAGGCATTACTGCTCTTACGTTCAAGGCCTTACAATGTGAGGTTCTGTAAAATCGGAAAAGTTTCGAAATTTCAAGTTCCTTCCTCGTGGGTAGAGGGGAAAAAAGGTAAAGGGTAGAGGGAAGCGTAGTTTTCTCGATTTTTCCTCAAATTTTGCGTCGTGAATTGGGTTATCGTTTTCTCTTTTTGTTGTTTTCATTACTTAGTCATATCTTTGCTGATGATCGGTTTCGTATAATGGAACTTTCTTGATGCTAGGTCCTCACAAGACGGCGATATTACCAAGAACCAGTCCGAGGGCATCTCCCAGGTTTCGGATCAGAAATGTCGAATGCAAACCTTTCTCCTGAGGTATCTTCGGTATCGATGGATTGATATGGGGGTTGGGGGGTAGGGAATGAAGCCATTGGTCCGTGTTTGTAGGGTAGATGTATAAAATTTCGATGTCTATCTTCTCATCTCTGTGGAAATTATTTGGATCACCGACCGCTAATCCTTTCTTAATCTTATTCAGATACTTTTTCTGTTAGTTTTCTCCTCTCTGAAATCATATTCAATCAATCTTAATTAACTGCCTCAATGCAAGTAAATGTAGCAATGAAAAGAGAGTCTATAGATTGAAATTTGAATCTGAAACATGGCATGTTGTGTATTGTTGAATCAGGAATGAAAAATGTGCTATATCTATACATGAATCATTGATCTTGGTTGGGGGAGATTCTCTTGTGTATTAGCCCTTATATTGACCAAAACCAAGACAATGTGTACAAGAATTTGATTTCATCTCAATGGATTTGGATTTGGATTTGGTTCTCTTTTGTGTGTGTGCATCCATTGGAGAGCTTCTTTCTCAGCTTCTAAATGGCGAAAATCTCTTATAGTTACATCAATATCGTTTTAATCCCAAGATTATTTAATAAATACATTATTTTTGAAAATTATATTAAATATATCTTCCAATCAAATAGAGTTGTGTATATATATACACATATATAATGTTGATGAGATGTAGGAGATTTTTTTGTTTATAATCTGAAAACTCAACGGACATTTGTCTAATTTTTCAAAAGATCCGAGAAGTTCGGATGAATATCTCTCTCTACACTTAAATTTGAATCCAAGATAAGAACATGTTTTGTATTTTTAAATACATCAACATTGTTTTAATCCCAAGATTTTTAATAAATATATTATTTTTGCAAATTGTAGCTAAATATATCTACCAATCAAATAGAGTTACATATATATATATCCTTAGAAACTAATAGGGTTGAAAAAATTATTATAACTTTAAATTAAACCGATATTATTTGGTTTCATTTAATTTGAATTTATATATCTAAAATGAAAGTGAAAAAAGGAAGGAAAAAATATTTTGGTTCCATTGGTTATTATTATATCCAGTATGAGCAACTCAAGGCCACTCTTCTTCATTATTTCTATGGCTCATAATAAATATCTCCCTAATCTGAATAATATACCAAATGCACAAAAAAAAAGAAATAAAAAAAAATTGTTTGGTAGGGATGGATCGATATGTCCATGCCTCACATCTTAATTATTTTCTGTAATCATTATATTTCATACATGTATTTGTCCGAATTATAAAATAGTTTATGATTGATTTATCCTGTTATCCTAATGAAAATACTATGTATCATGATGAAATTCTCAATTAAGATATGTAAAAATGAATTGAATCAAATTGTAATCGATATTAAATCAATGATAGATTAGGTATCATTTTTTAAATGAAATTTTTAATAAAAATGGAAATGAGTGCGAATATAATTTCAACACAATAATAAATAGCATAAAAGTACATTTTTTTCGAAATAAAAATCAAATACAGTAACAAAATAGAAAAAAATCACCTCGACCCCTTCTTTCTTTCTTTTGGTACGAACTTTCGGTTGGGTTTTAAAAAATTAAACCATATTAAAAAATATAATTTTTTTCTCGATTCGAATCGTTCAAAATTTTCAAATAGTATTAATTTCAGAAAAACCAAAATTTTAAAAATCGAATCGAACTGAATTTAAAAAAAAAACCCAAAAAACTAATTTTTTTAAAATAATTTTTTAATAAAAATTTTAACCGAAACCGAATCGAAACAAATCGAATATAATATAATAACCGGTCAATACTTATTTACTACATTTTTTTTTGTGTGACTATTGTTGGAAATAAATTTTCTTCTCTCTTTCTTTTAAAAAAATGTATATATATGGGTCTTACCAATTATTTGACTTTTAAAGTAAAACCGTTCCAAATATCACCGAGAGTCAACACATAATTATGAGATATATGTAAATGGGAATTTTGTTTAAAAAAGTAACTATATATTATATAGATGATGATATGTATTTTTGCAATTAGTCCAATGCTATTAATTATTATCCAAATTAGTCCCAACAATTTTCTACATTTAGCACCAATATTACAATCACAAGTAGTAAGTACACACACTTTGACCAAATAATATTTAAAATAAAAGACAAAATCTTTGAAAATGTTAGAATCTAAACCATGCTAATTACTGAAAAATATACATGCCTAATTGATACTTTCAATTTTTACACACACACACACACACATATATATATATATATATATTCATACATATATATATATAGGTATAATTGGTGAATCGAAATAGATGCATGTTTTCCTTATCTTTTCGCCTCTACGGAACATTTGATTTCCCCAATGTAGAGACAGAGAGACGAACACAGTTCACATAGCGCACAGTCTGTAGAGAGAGAAAGCTCGAATCTTTTCAATTTCTACAGAAAGCCCGCTTCCGAATTTGTCTGCAGGTGGCGAAATCCATTGTTGGGTCGAATCATGCCGTCGGGCGCGAAGAAAAGAAAGGCCCTGAAGAAGAAGAAGGAACGGGAACAGATCGGAATCAGTAAGGGAGACGACAACGGCGATAATCTTCATGGTACTATGTTTTTGGTTTTTTGTTGTCTTTGGACAGATAACTTGAACACTTGTTGCTGTTCTTGTCCATGTTCTTGTCCTGTGTGCTTGATTCTGTTTTCTTGCTCGAGATTGGTGCAGAATTGTTGGGATTTAGGGATTTTAGTGCATTCCTACAAATGGGTTATTTGCCAAATGGAAAAATTTTGCTGCTTTGATTCCATTTGGAGATTTGAAAGTATATTCTTTCAATCTCCACTTTATTAATGTTCCTAAAGGTTTTGTCTTTTGTGGGTTCATTTCCCCTTGTTCCTGTCATTGGTTCTCATGGATTCTTTGAATATTCTGTCGATTCATTCTTCTCCTGTTAGATAAACATCAATCTTTTCGTTTCCTGATTCACCATACTTAGTTTCCTGGTTAGATCTTACATTGAATTGGGCATTAAGGAATGCCCGATTCATGGACCTGGACCAGACTTTGGTGAACTGGAGCATAGCTCTGTTGAATCAGTAAACAAGAAAATTCCGTGCTTTTTTGACTCGGAAGTGAACTTATGTAAGAGAAGCGGCATACAAGAAAATTCCGTGTGTTTTGCCATGTTTCGGCTGTCTGGTTTACTTGGTTACTACTACCTTCGAGTGACATTCTGTCTGTGTGTCGTTTTAGATCGTCATATCTGTGGTATCTTCTGTCGTTTTTCAATACCGGGTTTAGTATTTTTTGTATGGCCTTTAAATTCTGGTGAATGTTTCAGGGAATGATGACCCGGGAAGCCATGACGAGAAGGAAAGTGATGGCAATTTGAGTTCCCCTGGTTCTCAAGGAAATGAAGAAGCTGGAAAAAGAGATCCACCTGCCTTCGAGAAGGACATTGCGAAAGAGAAAGTCGAGAATGCGGTAATTGATTCCATCAAGCATGTTGTTTCAGTATCCGAGATACCGATCTCAACAAAATCTGGCGAAGAAGAGAACCCGCTTCCTATAACGGAAAAAGATAAGGACGATGACGTATTTACACCTTCGGAACTTGCTGGAACGAGCGAAGAAGTCAAGAACACAGTCATGGAATCGGAAATTCCAGAATCTTCCGAGGAAAAGGTGGCAAACCCGTTGTCGTCTGCGCTCTCTATACCTATTTAGAGTGTTCCCTTTCGTCTTTTCAGTCGGTTTAATTCTCTGGATATGTGCAGAGTCTTCTGGCTTCTGGTCCACCAGTTAGGAGAACCTCATGGTTGAGTTGCTGTGGCTTGTTTGAAGCAATGACAGGATCTGAAAGATAAACAGTACAGGTCAGTACCGTTATTGTATCGGTTTTCCTTTAGAAAGTCTCAACCTTTTCGCCTTAAAGGCCACAGTTTATCTAACTGGACTTACAAGAAGTTCCACGGGGTTAGAATCCTTGACTATGGATGACTTTGACATCCATGGCTGCCTGCATGAATTTCTTGGTTGAACTTTGAACAATGAGAGGGTGAAATTCTCAGTGATCAAATCCATTTTTTTCCTTGTTATTATGATTCATAACTGTAAATATGATCTCTAATTCCGTTCATACTCGTTATTATCTTCTCCGGACGGCCTTATTGCTGCAGGAAGAACGCGAAGGATGAAACAGTTGCATCCATGGCAGGATCGGTCGACAGTGGAAGCTCCAAAGAAAGCTGCAGAAACAGGATTACGGGTCGGTATATTCTTCTCTGTACATTATATGTTTGGATGGATAGTGATGAGGAAGTTCAGCAATATTCAGACAGGAACTCCATCTTTTGCAACGGCTCTGTTCTTACAGCATTTTTCTTACATCTTAAATCAATTTTGCAGTATTTTTCTTACATCTTAAATCAATTTTGTTCACATGCCAGCTTTAAAGTTCGTTGATATGGAAAAATAAATGCCCTAACTTTTAAAAAATGTGTCAATAAATACTTAGCTTTTAATTTAACAATATAATAGTCTAGATGATAATATACATCAAAGTAATACATCAACTCCTCAGATTGTGTCAAATTAATACCACAATTTTTCCAAATCGATCTAGGGGCGACTGGTTGCACCGCCGCTATCCGCCGCAAACGGAGCGGTTGCGATTTCCGGCGGTTGTAGACGATTAAAAAACTGACTGGTTGAACCGCAACTGCAGCCAAACTTGTCTTTTCTAATCGCAGCATCTAACTTGCGTTTTGGTAGCGGTTTCCGGCGTTTTGACAAAAAAACTAAAATATCCTCATTAAAAATGATATAAAACTCTAATATATATATATATATATATTTATGATAATTTTGTTTAGTGTTATGATTTGATATTATTTTTTAGTATTATATTTTAATATTATCAAATAATACTAAAAATTTGATTAAAATTGTTATAAAAAATTATTTTAAAATAATATTTTTTTTATAATTTATATCAAAACGCAACCGCAACCGCAATGAACCATTCATTTTTAACCGTACCTGTCTGCAATCGCTGCCAACAGCAATTTATCAACCAGTCAGTGTTATCATTCATAATTGCTATCAAACGCTTTGAAAACGCTGTTACCCACCACGCAACCGCTGCGGTACAACCAGTCGAACCCTTAGGCGTTTTTTTTTAATGCGTAAGGGTATTTGAAGTATTATTTTATCATATTAAAAATTGAGCTATTTATTTGATATATTTTTTGAAAAGTTGAGGTGTATATATATGTGATTTTCTCTTTATATGTTTTATTTCATGCCATGGAATTCAAACGTGTGGTGCCTTGGCTTCATTCTTAGTTGGTACTGCTTGATAGATTCCTTGTAGCCGTGAAGTTTTTTTTTCCTTATTCAATGAATACACTCACACACAAATTTTTTTATAAAAAAAAAAAATCGTCAAACAATACATGAACTTTTCCAATACGAATCAATCAAATCAAACCAAACCAAACCAAACTAAATCAAACCCGAGTTTCGGATTTGAACACAAACTGAACGTCGAAAAAATGGGGGTGAAAATCAAGATTCAGCCATAGATTTTTTTTTATCTTTTTCACCTCCTCACACTATGAACAAGAACAATGTACAGAAGCTGAGTGACTGAGAGTATGATCATGAAGGCCTCCATGGTTCTCTGCACAAAAAAATAAGGATGGGTGTATTAACAAAGAGGACAAAGCTTTTGCCATTTTTTTTAATGAAGTGAACAATTAATAACCAATTTATTCTGAACCGATGTAAACTGAATAACACATAAGCGTAAAACAAACTGAATCCGATATAAGAACTGAAATATTATAAATTTTTTAAAACAAAAAACGGAACCGAACTAACGGAATATAAAAAACTAAAAATTTCTTTAAAAACAGTAGTATTTTTATTAATAAAAATAAAAACCAAAACCGAATTAGAACAAAGCGGAATTTAAATTTTTTTTAAAAGAACAAAAAAATCCTTGAAAATTTCTTTGATAACATTGGATTTTATTAATAAATAAAAAATAGAAATAAATAGAACCAAACCAGATTCAATATAAAAATCGAATATTATAATTTTTCTAAAATAAAGTAACTAAACCCAAAGTCGAACCCGAACTGAAACCGAATAAAAAACTCACCAGACGTGCATTTCGTACGTGAAGTGCGATCTCTTTCCATGCAAATCTGCACCGATAAACACAAAATCAACCAAATTTTTTTTAAAAAAACCCGTCTCAGAACAAACAAGTTCCATTTCAGGACAGAGATTTTAGACACTATAGTTTCATTTCAGTTCATTACCCCATGGCAAGAAGTGTGAGTGTCCAGGCAATAGTTGCTGCCGATGCTGCGGCCGGCAAGCTCTCTACCGACCAAGAACGGATATGGTTAAGCCCTGAAATAGCAGAGGCCGCCCCCACGACTCCCGCCAACAACGAAAACGTCACGAAAAATCCCGTCGAAGCATTGCCCATCGGGAAATAGATTGGCGAAAAATGAGCCGGGAGATTGAGATCAGGCCCTGAAAAAAAAAACAACGGTTATATGCAGTTAAGAAGATCAAGAACGTAGAATCTTTGTCTGAAAATATCGGAATCGATAATGGATAATTCGAATGTAGAAAAGGCGAAATCTTTTACCGATGACGAAGCCGTGGTCGATGGCTCGGTTGATTGCCCATCCCCCGATCCCAAGAACAATCACATACATGCAGAAGTTCAACACCAGAAGCAAAGCAGCTGCAGATTTCGTTTCTTCACCCGCCATTTTTTTAAAACAAAAAGAGATTTTTTTTTCTTTATTTTTTGGACGTTGGTGTGAAGATTGAGATCATAGTGAGGCTAATTATATAATAAAATCGCATGGTTCTTTTCTTGTTAAGGCTGGCGATTGAATCCAAAGGAGGGGTTTCTGCAGGGTTGTAAAGTTCATAACTTGAAGTTTAAGGCATATTTTAAAAAATCAAATAAATATATAAATAAAAGATTCTTGGCTTTGTTCTTTGTACTTCATATAAAAAGACATTATTAAATTGTGGTACATTCCTTTATTGTTGTTATTTGCATGAATTTGATCCTTTTACGGCTGTCGGCAGTTATATTTCAAGAGGAATAATTTTTGCTTCATTTTTTTTTTCGATTGTATAAAAACAAAATCTGTTTAATGTTTAAGTTGGTTTCAATTTGAGTTTGAGTTTGTTCAGAATTCGATTTTTATATAAAAAAAAATATCATTTTTTCAATTATATTTGTATTCAGACTGGATTAATTTGGGTTTAATAAAATAATAGTCAACCAAATTTTTTTTAATCTAATTCAGTTTGGATATGATTGTGTTAACCCAAAACGCTAATTTCGATTATGGACTAAACTCATGATTAATGGGCACAAATACAAGTGATGAAATAATTATATAAGTACCCAAAATTGTATTTCAACAAAATCTGTGTATAAATTATAAACAATTACACAAAAAACCATTATCCTGTCTCTATTTCAACACAAACATTTATTACCATCCAATTAAATTTTTTTTTTTGTTACAAATCATTTCCTGTAATATATCCAAAAAGATTTTTTTTTTTTATAACCGTTAGGACTCGAAAAGGTATATTCATCGAATTTTCGGGGTTATGTCCCTCTGAGACATGGTTTCGACGGTCTACATGTTCCAGGTCTTGAATCTCTTCACATTCTTCTTGTACGTTTTTGTTCATTCCAAGCCACATAAATCCACTCCCGCCAAAAATCATATCTTGAAATCAAATATCTTTATCCCTACTTTGATTAATTCATCGCATTTTCGGTGGATCCAATCCGTTATGTGACAAGTTTTCGGGACCCTTTTGGTACAGGACAAGAAGTACATAAGCATGTGTTTTTGTTTCTCACGTTATGTCTAAACCAATCAAACAACTTCTGGTTTTATACATGTATATATATACATGTGTGTGTGTATATATAACAAAAGAGCAACCTCACTTCATTCTTTCATTTCATCAACCAAAATCTTGTATTACACAACAATCCGAAGCAACCAAACCCTCCATGTACCGTTTCATATCCCTGGTGATCATTTCCGACATGTCCATTTAAATCTCCACCGATAAAAATAGACTCTTCGGGCGGTACACTTTGCATAAGTTTATCCATGTCCTCCCAAAACTTCTCCTTACATTCGCTATCTAATCCTATTTGCGAGGCATAAGCGCTAATCACATTGATAGCTTCTCCTTCTACCACTAATTTCACTAGTATGATCCTATCGCCTACGCGTTTTACTGCAACCACCGACTCCTTCAAAGACCTATCTAAGATAATGTCCACCCCATTCCTATTTCGTTCTTGACCCGAGTATCATAATCTAAAACCTGTATTACCAATCTCCTTACTTTTCTCTCCTATCCACTTTGTCTCTTGGATGCAAGCAATATTGTTCACTCTCATTCTACTCATTGTGTCTACAAGTTCCATTAACTTTCCCATAAGCGATCCGATATTCCAAGTACCTACCCTAACTTTTCGTTCCGCCGAAACTTTCTTACCTCCCTTTCTATAGGTCTGCCTATTACCTCCCTTACTTTGGCTTTAGTAACATCAACACTCTGGACTAACTTTTTTACCCACATTCGTCCATGATGTGGGAACCCTTGCCTATTTAGCACCACATCCGGACGCCGATATGGCGCGTCGCATTCGGGGGACGCCCTATACCCTTGCCTATTTTTCACTACACCTGGGCTCCGAAGCGTCGTAAGTAGAGGATGCCCCAACGTTTATATGATTTGGATTCATTGCATATAAGATATGGCGTAGTTCTGATTTTGCCGGTTGCCACCCACCGCAAAACCATCCTCCTTTATCCGGGCTTGGGACCGGCAAGACACGAGATAAATATGTCCAGGCGGAGTTACTTTTGGTCCTTAACAATTAGCTAATTTAATAAGTGGTCAAACAAAACCTTAATTTACACAAGAACTTCAGAGTTTAGAAGGAGAAAAGCCCACCATTCGTTTTTATTTGGTAAATATGTATATATATACACCTAATTTCTATAAGAAAAATATCCAAATTTCATAATGATAATGATTTGTCAACATGATAATTATTTAAATTTAAAAAATAGTATCAAATTTTATTTTGATTACAATTTTCAAAATCGTAAATTATTTTTCTTTCTAGCATAAGATGTTCATAGCTTAATTTCCATCTAACTATTTTCTGTTTATTTTATGAAATTTATTTGGTTAGTTTTCAAATAATATATTTACATTTGCATAAAAAATGGAAATCCCGTTACAACAATGTAAAAGTTTGGGATAATCAAACAAACTATTTCAAATCTCATATTTTCAAAAAATGTTACAAAAATAAAAGACATGATTCAAAGCTTGAACGGAATATTTATCGTTCTTGAAGTCTCTTTTCTCGTACTTTCTTCAATTCTTGTTTTGCCTTCGTGATGAGATCTCTCATGGAGATGTTCTTGGATATGGGATCTGCCTCTAAGCTCGGATTCGTTTCTTTAGTTGTCGAATCCGACGCTTTTGATACCTAAAAAACGTATAAAAATTACAAAAAAATGAGTCTGAAATTTAATTGTATAGATATATAATGAATGCCAAAATCATTTTGGTTACTTACATTATTATTATCGTTGCTTTTGGAAAATGATTCTGCATGGCCATAGGTTTCCTTTTTTCCAATATCGGAGGAGCTCTTGGTCTGAAAATTTAAGTAGAAAAAAATGTTAGGAGTAACATTACAAAATTATGGATGAAAATTCTAAAATATTATGTATAAATCAATTTTTACATTTATATTAATTAACTAAAATATTAGTATATTTTAATCATAATAACCTTCAATAAAAAAATAAATGAAGAAAATCCATAAAAAAAATCTAAGAATCTTTGCGGACCGGAAAAAAGAAAATTAAAAAAAAAAAAAACAGATTAAGAAAATCCATAAAAAAAAAATCAAAAGGAGACGTACCTTGCTTGTGTTCGGTCTCTTCTTCGGCGGGTCTCCGCCGGGTTTTCCGGTAACCACCGCGACGGAGGGTTTTTCCGGCGGAACATCGGCGCCGACTCTAGGGTTTGGGCACTGTTTGGAACCGGAGGGCAAATGCCTTGAACGCTTACTTGCCTCGCAAGAAACCAGACTTCTGTTTTCATTGTCGTTCTGTCTCTTCTTCATGCGCTTTCCTTTCGCCTTGTTCTTCGGAATATCTGCAGAGGCCGATGCCTTTTCCATGCTAGGCTCGTCTTCTATCGGATTCGACGCTTTTTTCTCCTGAAATTTTTGTCGAGAAAATGAATTGAAACAATCATTCGTGGGAAGAGAAACACAAGCAGTTCAGTTACCTTCTTCTCCACTGTCTTAACGCTTTCTTCCTCGAATCTCCTGCTCGGACCCAACTCCTCCTCAGAGACAGGAACGCCAAAGTGAGGGGGCTCTGTCTGTTGCATCTCATGGTACCAATTGTCAAGCAGATCATCGAGTTCCATGGCGAGGGTTTTTGCTTCTCCCTTCTTGTCTCTTTCCGAATTATGATGCTCTTTCTGCTGCTTCTCCTTAACATCGTGACTCGGATCGTCGATTTGATCCATGGCTTTCTTGGATCCGTTCTTCTGAATTTCCTTATTTTCCTTCGCGAATTTTACACACCGCCTCTGGAAAGAGACGATGTCAGTCGAAAACGAGCATTTATCGGAAGACATGATCTTATCATAGTTGCTGTTTACCTTCTTTTCCTCCTCCTTGACGTCGTCACTGCATCTCTGGCTTCGTTCGTGTACTTCCGGGCTCATCCCTTCAGATTTGAATTGAAAGTAACGTCTGAAAACCCGATCTTGATTGTTCCTTGGCACTTTCGCATCGTCGTAACGTGTGAAAACCCGATCCCGTGTGTTATATACTCCGTTTTCCTCCATGAGATGAACTTCGTGGCGAAGGAAGGAGCAACCGAGTTCCACAAGTTGTCTGAGATCTTTCAGATAATTCTCCACTTTGGCGTCGGCTTCGAGCTGTCCAAACGAAAACAAGATCAAAGACTGCTCGAAGAAGAAGAAATGATTCAAATGATCAAACCTTGTCAAGCGACAGCCGGAAGGCTTCTCTCTTCTTCTGAATCTCAGTGCGAGGATCTTGATGTTCTTTCTCTATCGATAAACGAGGGGGTTCGTCTTCTTCCTGAAATTTGTAAAGAAAAGAGTCTGAAAACACAAAACCTAATGGCGGAAATTATCAGACGGGATTGTTGTCGGTTACCTTCTTCGGATCGTTCTTCTGTCTGATCTGTTGGGTTTTCGGAGGGACGTTATCTGTAGAATTGTTTTCTTCTTCCCTCTGAACCAGCTCTGAAAACCAACGCCGGAGGAGATGATCGATGTCCATGGCGGCGGAGGACGGAGCTTCTCCCTTGTGCATGGCGACGGCGACTCTGTTTCTCAAGGCGGAAACATCAGATGCTGTTATAGTGACACTCTTCTCGTGACTCATCTCTTCTCTCTCCATTGATGTCCGGTGAAACAGATCTCCAAGCCTAGGAGTCCAAGGTGAATGGTGATCACTTCAGTTCTGTTCTAGTCCGTACTATATATACTGTATGTAAACACGTTTTAGATTTGCTACTACCTTTTTTTTTAAAAAAATTGATTTGATATTATCTTTATAAAAAAAATTAATTGAGGTATTTTTGTTTTGTTTTGGCTTCTGTTAGTTACTTTAATCCTCAAAAAAAAGGAAAATGAAATTGAGTTGACTTTAAAATTAATTAGATATTTTTTGGTTTTATCTTTGAGTTACTTAATTTAATCCCAAAATAAAACAAAATAAAATAAAACGAAATCACGTT